TTTGGATAAGTTTTTTACAAATAGACTGTATTACGTTTTATTAAAGAATGATTTTGTATCTACAACACAATACGAATTGACACCAGGCCGCTCCATAGATAATGCTCTTTATGAGCTTGTCAATATTATTAGCTCACAAAAATCTGAATTCCATGTGGCTGTGGTCTCCTTCGATGTCTCGGGAGCTTTTGATTCTATTAGATGGACATCTTTGCTCTAAACTCTTAGAGAGTTTGGGATACCAAAAATATTTATAGAATCTTTCTTAGTTATTTTAACGAAAGAAAAATTATTTATAGATTTAATAAGGATATTTCTATTGAAAGAATGGTTTACAAAGGATGCCCACATGGTTCCTGCAGTGCTCCGCTGCTGTAGAACACCATAATATATGGACTGTTCATAAAAGAGTGCCTAAACGGTGTAAGAACTTTATGTTATGCTGATGACATTTTATATGCGATTTGTGAAAACATTTTGGAGAAATCTGAGAAACTGTTTTCATTTGCTATAAAAGATCTAAGAATGTGGATTGAAAAATAATAGCTGAGATTAAATTCATAAAATACTAATTTCTTGTTTTACCCAAAGGGTGAAAAAAACAACTAGATCACTGCAACTAAAATATGAAGGTATTTTTAGAATTAAATGTTTTGAAAACTTTAAATATCTTGATGTTTCTTTGGATTGTAAACTGAAATTTGAAAAACATTTTAATAATATTTATAAAAGAACTAAACCTACTCTGATGTATTATAAAAGAAATTTCTCAGCTGAGCCATTAGCACTGAAAAGTAACATTATTCGATTAATTTACAAAAGTTATTACACCCATTATATTATATTGTGCTGGGGCTTGGAGTTCCAAGGCCGCAGACCTGCAGAGAATCAGAAATAAATTAGATACAATACAACGATCCTTGCTGCTGCTTTTGACCAGAAGCTTTAAAACAGTCTTGATGGGAGGCGTTTGTATATTGGCCGGTATGCCTCCCCTCTCGATATATTATTCGTTTTATTATGATAAATTAGATTACGTTCACAAAATGATTATTTTATTACTTACTGCATATAATATATGTTACATGTTTTACTGCATATAATACATGCTTTTCTGTTTTTAATATTAACAGTGTACATACTGCATTACGAAAAGCAGAGGAATATCAGAAATCAAATGCTTGCGCAGGAGAATTAGATATATTTACTGACGGATCGGGTAATGGGAATAGAATTGGTTGCAGCATATGTGGTTCACTTGTTTGGTACAGAAATAAACCATTGCAAAATTAGACGTGACCCTTACAATTCGGTTTTTCAAGCCGAATTGGCTGCTATCATATTTGCTCTTAAATGGATTGATGAAAACCTGACTAATTAAGACACAATAACACGCCGAATATACTAATTCAGAAGTCAAACAACAAAAATCAGCGTTATATTTACAAAATTTTCACAAGACTAGTTTCGATGGTTTTACCGAACCACCATCCTCAGCTGCAAAACCGCAAATGAACAAGCCATGGGAAGCCCCCTCAGTCCCATCCTGGCTGATATCTACATGCATTATTATGAATGAAAACTGTTTAAACTTCCCGGCACGGTTCCGCTACGTAGACGATACTTTTACTCTGTTTGAAGGTAATAAAGATGATTTAAATAAAGTTCTTTCAACAATGAATTCTATTGATCCTGCTATTCAGTTCACTTTTGAACTTGAGACTTGCAATTCTCTTCCGTTTCTCGACATTCTGGTCACACGTAACACATCCAACTTCAGTACTACGGTTTACCGTAAACCTTCATCGGTTTGCCTTCCACCACACTGAAAATCATGTCATCCGACTAAACAAAAGTTAGCTTCATTTTATTCCTATGTTTTCCGTGCTCTTCAAGTTTGCTCCTCCAAACTAGCCCTTGAAAAAGAAGTAAACTATTTAAAAGCAAGAGCTATTGACAGGGGCTTTTCACCCAACATTATTAATCAAGCAGTTAAAAAATTCTCATCTCAACACACTAAAAGGCACACTCTTGTTTTAGGAGATTATAAAAATTCTGTTGTCATTCCCTTCTTTCCATCAATTAGCTATAAAGTTGCACATATTTTGTAGAAATTTAACTTTCGGGTTGTTTATTCTCCCATCAATAAAATTCCGAGATCCATACTCAAGGACCCCCTTCCGGATATGAATTCCTGGGGTATTTATAGGATTCCTTGCCAGTGTGGTTTAATTTACATAGGCCAAACTAAGAGAGCCTTAAAATTTCGCGTCAAAGAACATGAGGCATATGTTAGAAAAAAGGAAACACAGAAGTCTTCTGTTGCTCAACATTTTTGGTCCGAAAACCACACTTTCAATTTTTCTGCTGCCAAAATTATTCAAAAAACATCTTCCATTGGAGAACTGGATTTTCTAGAGGCATTTCACATTCATAAAAATCTTTCTGTTCTAGTTAACGATCCTAATTCCAATCCAAATTTGCCTTCGGCCTTTAAAGAAAATATGTTTTAGTCTGGTTTTACCAACAGATGGCGACACTTGCTTATTCTTGTCCAGGCTTTCTTATCTTATCTAAACATTATTTCCTATCTTGTTCATTTGCGGTTTGCAGCTGAGGATGGTGGTTCGGTAAAACCATCGAAACTAGTCCTGTGAAAATTTTGTAAATATAAAGCTGATTTTTGTTGTTTGACTTCTGAATTAGTAAACCTGACTGTAAAACATCTATTAATATACACTGAGGTGACAAAAGTCATGAGATAGCAATATGCAAATATACAGATGGCAGTAGTATCGCGTAGAAAATGTATAAATGCGAAGTGCTTTGGCAGGGCTTTCATTTGTGTTCAAGTTATTCATGTGAAGAGGCTTTGACGTGATTATGGCCGAACGACGAGAATTATCAGACTTTGAACGCGGAATGGTAGTTGGAGCTAGACGCATGGGTCATTCCATACAGCGCAGTGGGCGACCACCTACACTTAACGACCGAGACCAGCGACGTCTGCGTAGAGTTGTCAATGTTCACAGACAAGCAACACTGCATCAAATAACCGCAGAAATCAATGTGGGACGTACGAGGGACGTGTCCTATAGGACAGTGCGGCGAAATTTGTCTTCCTTGGGCTATGCCAGCAGAAGACCGACTCGAGTGCCTTTACTGACAGCATGACATCGCCTGCAGCGACTCTCGTGGGCTCGTGAGCATATCGGTTGGTCCCTAAACGAATGGAAAACCGTGGCTTGATCAGATGAGTCACGATTTCAGTTGGTAAGAGCTGATGGTAGGGTTCGAGTGTGGCGCAAACCCCACGAAGCCATGGACCCAAGTTGTCAACAAGGCACTGTTCAAGCTGGTGGTGGTTCCATAATGGGCTGGGCTGTTTTTACATGGCATGGACTCGGTCCTCTGGTGCAACTGAATCGATCATTGACTGGAAATGGATACCTTCAACTACTTGGAGATCACTTACAGCCATTCATGGACTTCACGTACTCAAACAACGATGGGAGTTTTATGGATGACAATGCGCCATGTCACCGGGCCACAATTGTTCGCGATTGGTTAGAAGAACATTCTGGACAATTCCAGCGAATGATCTGGCCACCTAGATCGCCCGACATGAATCCCATCGAACATTTATGGGACATCATCGAGAGGTCAGTTCGTACCCAAAACCCTGCACCGTCAACACTTTCACAATTATGGACGTCTATAGAGGCAGCATGGCTCAATATTCCTGCAGGGGACTTCCAACGACTGGTTGAGTCCATGCCACGTCGAGTTGCTGCCCTTCGCCGGGCAAAAGGAGGACCGACAAAATATTAGGAGGTATCCCATGACTTTTTTCACTTCAGTGCATATACAGACGCATTAACGGGTTTGGAAGCACTAGCAGATGCTGATAACACTAATATTTGGGTCTTATATGTAAAAGACCTCCTTGTGAAAGTTGACAAAATACATGAAGTGGAAATGAACAGGATGTAAGCCCGTATTGGTGTTATAGGCAATGAGAGGGCCGATATGCTGGCCAAAGACTCTCCTACGGGCAATACCGAGGATGCGTTCGATAGTCCGATATCAAAAAGAATTGTTACTGGCAAAATCAAGGATTTCTATTATGATTGCTTGAAAGAGAAATGGAACATTTCGAGAAAAAAGAAAGATTATTTGTCGAACTTCGATTTAAAAAAAATATGACAACGATACGTGATTTTGATTATAATCAAATAATTACTGGGAACGGGCACTTCCCGGCGTACCTGAAAAATTTTTAATTTGCGAAATAATAGTCTTTGTAGCTTTTGTAGTGCTGAAGGCAATGCACGACATTTCGTCGCAGACTGCATATTATTAGGATATATTAAGGAAAAACATGGAACATAAAGAAATTCTATTGCTGCAGAAAAAAGTTTAGATTTCCAAAGGATTGGATGAACTTTATAAATAGAAACAGAACAATACTGGGAATTTTAGTTTGATGTTTTTTATTGTATTTTTGTTTTAATCTGTGTTGGGTGTGCTGCGTTAACCACGAGGGTTGCAGCGCACTCGAATATTGCATCACATTACTTACTTAAATGTCAGGTCAGTGGTCATTCCTGGTGGCATACAGTGCATTGTTGTGAAAATTCGCTGTTATAACTACTATGCAATAAATGTCGTTTTCGTAAAATGAAGAAATATATTTCGTAAGAGCGACAGATCCACATTTTAAATTTTAGTTTTCAAGATGAAGCATAATTTTATTCACATTGTTTTGTCGTTCTTTTAATTTTTAATTTACTTTTATTTATTTCTTTTCATTCATTTTCGTATCCTTAGGAGAGTTCTCTAAAACTTTCTTAAAGATGAAGAAATCAAATATTATCATTGCCACTTGCCTTAAATATCATTTATGGTGACATATAATAAATATTCATATATTGCGTATATATATATATATATATATATATGTGTGTGTGTGTGTGTGTGAATAAGATAGTAACACATACCTTCAAGTCGCAATAGAACGACCATATGAACTCCTTTCGGTACAAGAGACTAAATCTGAGCGAAGTAAGAAATCGAACATCTTTTGGTGCTGTGACTTCTTGTCGAATCTAAAATAAGGCAAAAACAAATAAATAAACACTTACTCACGATTTTCCTAAAAAGATGCGCATAAAATTTATTGAAATATATTTTTAAAAATATAAAGATTAGATATTCACAAATATTGCAGTTGTGGACAGTAGCGGGGTTGGCAAAGACTGACTGCTATTCCAGATTGTAGGCAAGACAGCCCAAACGAAAAAAGCATTGACAATGAAGCGAGAGGAAGTCCTGACGTCATATGCAGCCGCCTCAAGAACCTCGCTCCTTCTAGTAAGCTTGTAAGGTTTATCCTAAGTTTTTAACAGTTATCTTTAGTTAAAGCTGCTTTTCTGTCCCTTCTAATTTCATCTTACAAATTTCCTGCCAGAGTGTGTTTTTAGAATCGCGGTTAATGTAAATGAAGGAAGAGCGGTACTTAAGTCGAAGTCCCACTGATTTCGTTAGAGAGCCAGAGATTCTGACTAGCGCGCGTTTGCCTTTTGGATACACTCTTTCTAAGCTATTACTACGTTCGGCCGTATTTCAGGCCCTTGATAGCTTCGCCATTTAGTTAACATTTAGGGGCCAACACCTTTTAGAATTTTGATAGCTTCAGCTATATCTTTTCAGTTAAGCATTAGTTAAGTTTGACTTTCTTAGTACTCTTGAGTTCAAGCTCAAGTGGAGGTTTTTCTGTACGTCCTGAGAAGGGGTCATCTGTTAATACTTATTTTGAGCAATAAAGGATAATTAACCCTTCTTGAGTTTATGTTTCTGTTTCCTGAGCTAAAGCGATTATTCGCTTACCAGTTCTCGAAGTCCCCCCACATATAGCTGTAAATCCAAGGTTGCAACCCTCTCCTTTGTATTCGGTGGGCGACAAACGTGCTTATAGCATGCTGTAATTTCTATAAAACTGTTTGATTCTCATATGATTTTATAAGATGATACATTAGTTGCGACATGCCGTGTGAATTACAAAAACGGCCTAAAAATGGTTGACATCAACTTTCCGACTGAGCCTGAATTCAAACTTCAATGGATAAGGAATATACGAAGGAAAAACAGCTTTAAGCCTACTAAACATTCAAAAGTAAGTTCGCTTTGTTCTTTTTTAATTTTTGCGAAGTCTTTATCAGTTTCTTATTATTTTTAATAATACATATCTGTGATATTTATATTTTGAGTATTATATTTTGGTCTATTAACAAGAATTTTCTAGTTTATAGATTTTGATTTCGCCAGTTTTAATCACTTCAAAAGAAGTAAGTTTCTTTCAAAGCCAAAAGTTTTAATCGCGAAAACAGTGAATATTATCTTTCTGTTATCTTTTTTTTTTTGTTAAAGATAAGTGTAAATAAAATAAAGATTCACATAAGAAGAATTCTGGCTTTAATAATCACGTAGCAACGTTTAATTTGCAAAGAGTTTTAAAATTTAAGATATAAATTTTTAAATTCTCGTATTGATGTGTATAAGTTTGGTATCGATATATTAAAATAGCTGACTATGTTATACCCAATTATTACCCATTGTTATAGGCTTCTTTAGAATATAAGTAAAACTGTTATCATACTGAGTTTTTTAGACATTACAAATTACTTCGGAAGCTTTTCATGAAATTTGTATTATAATATTATAAAATATTTGGCTATTTAACAAATATTTAATTAGCAAAGTACTCAATTAAATCAAATGGCTCCTTGGCTTTTATTACTAGATATTAATATATTTGTAACTCTTGTAACTGCAAAAAGTTAATTTTAAAATGTCTTGTTTTATATTTGTGGGGATTGCATTTTCAACCAGATGAAGTGTAAAGAGAATTGGAAATGTTTGATGGAATTATGAACGTTTGCTAAAGCGCCTTCTTCTAAGCCCCATCTAAAGAAAGTTTCTATTCAGTTTCCTAATAAGACTACCCTGCATATTATAGAATTTTGTGCCAAGAATCTCACATGAAAAAAAAAATCTCGTCTAGGACAAAAATGTTTAGAAAAAGCGATCGAAAAAAGCTTAAAAAAACAAAATTTTGAAAATGAACGATCATTTGAAAACTTCAGGGAATTAAATATGTACCTTAGAGCATAAAACTTTAGGAAATCCTAGACGAATGTGCCTATTGAAAATTCTACTTCGTCAATTAATATTTTAAATAACGTAGTTTCAGCAGTTCTGAAATCTACAGTAATAAGTGAGGACTTCAATGGCTTTTTAGCCATTATAGAAGTAAGGGCTTTTTAGTAATTTAAGAAGTAACATTTAAGAAGTTTCATACTAAAGAAAGGTTGAAAGCCACTCTCTGAGTTTTCAAGAACTTGCACAGCTTATGGATGATATACTTTTAGAGTTCAAAAAAATCTGAACTAAACTATATTAGAAAGCGAATGATTAAACTGATGTGAACAACAAAAATACTAATGTACTCCTTGGATATCGTTATGATGGCAACAAATGGTAAAATACTTTTTTGTGATCCCAATTATGCATATCGTAATGGTGAAAAAACTGATAGATCAGACATTTTCATTTCATATTAGTATTTCATTTAATGATATGTCGGTTATGTTTCAAATAGCTGGTATTGTAATGTTATGAATTGATGATTATTTTGTAGTTATAGATATGTATAGAAATTTTATTTTAGTCACTTTAATGCCAGTGATATCACTGAAAAACTTACAAATTTACTGCTTTCGAAGAGATTTATGGGCTGTGTTTTAAGAGGCAACTACTTTTAAAACTTGTACACCATTATGATGGTCACATATAATTAAATGTTTTATTGTGATCGCTGTTATGCATTTCCTAAGGGGGAAAACTGTTTGAAAGTTCAGACATTTTTTGGATGTTCATTTAATGATGTGTGTTTAATGATGTCGCCCATTTAGCGACATTTGATGCCAATCGGCGATATACCATGAAAGGATGGAGAACCTTCTGGAACGAATTCTTACCGATTTAGCCCAGAATGTTCTCGAACACTAGTCAAAAGCTGTATAAACCCTGCTGGTACGCAGTCAGTTAATGAGCGTCTTCGAGAGTGCCTCGTCGAGAGGGCGAGTTAGTGTGCGCCTCGTCTAGAGTACGAGTTAGTATCGAGTTGGTATCTCGTCTAGCCAGTCAATCCCTGCGGAGTCGATCGAGTTGACAGCCGGGCAGCGAGTGCCGAGTGGGTCGTCGAGTGCACCGAAGGAGTCTGTTAGTGTATCGCGGTTAGTGCATCGTCGAGAGAGCGTATTGAGCTCCGGGAACGACTGAACTGAAGAGTCGGGAGCCGTGCTCTGTGTGTCGTCGAGTGCATCGCGAGTTGTAGCGTGGAGTACGTGGAGTTCCGATAACGACCCAGCAGAGTCGGGAGCTGTACTCTGGTGCTTTGCAGTGAAGCTGTCTCCACCGTGATAGCTTGATAACCTGAAAGCTGTGTCGCTGATCGTGTCAGCGTGTTTATAACAGTTTGACGAATGTAAACAAAATTTTGGAGCTATCCTGATTAAATACCGGCCAATAAAGTGTGTTTCGATACTTCATCAAGTGTCGTCGTTATTCACTCTAAATCTACGAACCCCGTACGAACGTGAAGGAAGAAAATAACGTAACAACTGGTGTCAGAAGAAAGAAAAACGTAACAATATTATTAAGCAATGCCATTTTATTAGAAAATTATATTCGACATTGGTTTATTATTACCTATTACATTGGTTTAAAGCGTAGGTGTTGAAATGTAACAATGGCAATACATGTACATAAAATAATTTTTGTTTTTAATTTCACATCATATTTTTATGTATGCATTTTTAAACATCACTTTGATTTTGATAAAGGCTTTTTTTAACATAAATATTTTAATACTTTCAAGATAACAATTGTAAGTTTAATTTCGAGATTTATTTCTCCACATATTATACGTAATGTTAGATCATTAGCAATTAGAAAAGGCTGGTTAACTCCTTACTATATAGTTAAACGAGTAACAATATCATTACTATCATAAATCAAACGTCCACGTGCATAAAATAATGCTTACTTTTATGCAGTAACAATACATTAGTTTTCATTCGCATCATATCTCCTTTAAATGTCAAATGCTATTTTCAGAGCAACGTTTCGGGAGTGTGTCATCTACCCGAGTTTAAAGCAATAATATCTTAAAAAGTTTGTTATGAAAACAAATTTGCATATTTTCATGCAAAGCAAATCCTTAGCGGAAAGGCTTGCTACTTCGGATTTTTCATATACATTGCTGGCCATTAAATACTGCAACACGAGGAAGGAATGATCTGACGAACGTCAAAATCACACGAAAGGAAGAAGAGTTCGGGATATGCAAATGATTAGTACTTCAGTTCATTTCGACGATGCAAGAGGGAGACACGACAACTGAAGCACTGCATAAAAGAAAAGGTGTGTAGTGTATTTTTCATTCGAAAAGCGCTTTGTAAGGTCGGAGTTTGCTTAGAATATCAAGTTATGCCTCGAATAATAATAAGAAATGCTCGATAGAGGCAGGATTGTTGCCTATCGAGAATCTGGGTTATCGTTCCATGATATCGCCCGTCGCACTGGTCGACATCCAACCACTGTCATGCGAATATGGAATCAATGGGTTGCTGAGGGTCATAGTGAACGGCAGGCAGGATCTCAGCGCCCATCCAACGCCCGAGAGGGCAGACATATTGCGAGGTCAGCCTTGTAAAACCATACAACCACATCACGGACCATTAGTTAGGAAATGGGCATGTTTACAGCACGCACACTATCAGCTCGTAAGGTGCGTCGACATTAACAGCAGCATGGACTACCAGCACGGTGACTATTACTCCGGCTTCCCTTGACAATGCAGCATAGAGAGAGACGACGACTCTGGTGCGCCGAACGACAAAGATACAGGAGTGGCAAAATGTCATCTTTTCAGACGATCCCGGTTCTGCATGCAGTATTCTGATGGCCGTATCTGTATCTGGAGGTTCCGACGAGACGCTTGCATTCGATATTTGCACAGGGGCCCTGCACCTGGTGTGATAGC